AAAAAAAAAAAAAAAAGGAAAAGAAAATATTAGAGAAAAATAAGAAGACAACGAAGAAAGGGAAGATCATAAAAAAGGACTAGGAAAAGAAAGATTAGGAGAAAGTAAAAGGGAAAATGAAAGAGAAAAGAAAGAAAAAAGAAGAAAAAAGAAGAAAAAAGAAGAAAAAAGGAAAAGTAAAGGAGAAAGACGGAGGGACGAAATGCTCAAGCCTCGCTAGTTGAGCCGTCCTTGTATACCTATAGCTTAATCCACATTCAATCAACTTGTTCTGGCTACAGACAGATAAGAACCCATTGACATTTCAATTGTTTAGTTATTAGGAAATTTTTCAAATGTCTTTGGCGGCAGCTGAAATCAAATCAAAGTCTGCCAGCTTCGTGTTAATGACAATCTTCATCCCAAGTTTGAGACTAAAGCCTTGAATTGAGACCATTGAAAAACACTACACAGCACAGGAATCGAAATATTGCCAATGATAGATAAATAGAACACAAGAGAGGATCATTAGACCGGAAAAAAATGAAGAAAAACCAAGTTTAAAATCTATGATGTTTTCACGAGTGAATGTAATAACAGGAAAAGATCCTAGGTAAAGTACTGATATATTTGACGTTAGTTTGATGGTATTTTTCAACAGAAAGTTATGTATTTTTATTCAGGATAGAAGTGGTTAAGATTCATTGCTAATATAGTGTAAATAGCAATTTTGTAACTTGCTTCGTAGGGCGTAAATCAGTGGGAAGCCTTTTGTATACAAGTGAGATATAGAAAACACTGCAATAATGAGCATGCGCACTAAAGACATCCTGTATGCTACAGACGACCATAATTTGCGAATTTTTATCTGTAACAATGTCAAGTGTAGCACGGGATTTCATATATGAACACGTTTCTCGGTTTAATGTTTTGGCTGCATTTATTTTAACAAATGACAGCAAATTCAAGTKTCTGGAAGAAAAATTGTTTTTGCTGACACGAAATCCTTTTCTTAATTTGACTGTTTCAGTCATTTTATGACAATGAAACCTCGTTCACGACATAGACTAAAGAAATAAATACAAAAGATTTCAGCTGCCGCCGGTTAGTGACAGATAAAAGTAAGAAAATAAACAAAGGAAATGGTTGAGAAACAGCCGAGAAAACACTATAGTTGTATAAATGGTACGGTGAGAAGCAAGAAGCGAGAAGGGAGACCAATCTCACATCGAGGGGAAATTAATTGATAGTCGGCTTTTTCCAATCAATTTTTTCACCATTTCAAACGCAATTCGACTGGTATGTCAGGAGTTGGTTTGTCTACTAGTTTACAGGGCACATACACACATACTTTCTAAACTATAACCTCTGTTAGGCGAAATGATGTCTTTTTAAAAGTTTTCCATCCCCACGCTCCCCTACACCTAAACACTAACCCAACCAATCCTTTCCCAAAACGCATTCATTATATATATAATTCACTCGAACTCAACTTCTATCAACATGATAACCCACTCAGGCCCATGATACGAAAAGTCTAGATATGACACCTTACTCTCTCTTCTTCTAAATAGACGTTCCTCCTACGTTTTCTTCTTTTAGATGTTTTTCTTTTTCTACCGTTTTAATTCTAAAAAACTCTTTCGTATTACGGAGTACATTGTCATGAAGATCATTAATACGGTATTCATTTCCCACTCGAATTTATTTTCACTTTTGACGTTTTCCTTTTATCTAAATTGGGCTCCCTGTGATCAAACTGTTTTATTGAGCCCTGAAACAACCTCATGACGGGCTACTGTACTTGAAAGTCGGGGGATAGYTAACTCACAGATCGAATTGCAATTTAGTTTAGGTTTTTAAATAAAACGTTGTTTTGTTTCTTTTGCTTTATACTGAAAGTCCTGCATTTGTCTTAAGGCTGGTTTAGACGGTACGATTTTCGCCTACAACTATCGTATACAACACGCTCGCGCCATCCTACAACTCGAGTCGTAGCGTGTAAATCAAGCCTACAACTCGCCTACGACAGACGCGAGCATGTTGTATACGATAGTTGTAGGCGAAAATCGTACCGTCTAAACCGGCCTTTACTGATCTAAAACTTTCTGCCTTTGTTGATTTTAGTTGATAATTTTCTTGCTTGAATTTTTTTGGGGTTTTGATATACAAGACAAGAATACAAGAGGAAGCACACATAGATTCATATAGGGTATTAAACGTTTTCTTTTTCGTCCCCACCAAATTAAACTTCCCAGTTTTATTCCGCCTATCTACGTCACCATATCTCTCCCTTCGTCACTTCTCCTGCAATCATATCTCACCTCGAACACTTTCGCAAGAAGTCCGGCGGAGCCGAAATATATTAAAAAATAAAGAAAGAAAGAACTAAAGCCGCATTCAATTTTCCAATGCCCAAGAATTGGCAAAATAATTCTTATTGTCTCAAAATAGATTTCTGAAGATTTTTAGCTAAAAATAGCAACTTCATCCCTAAAGGGGCCCTCAATAACCCAGCAGGGGATTTACTGGGACCGGAAGCGCTCGTAGCTAAGCCTTCTTTGCCTGGATATCCCCAAAGAAAGTGGTTAATTAATTGGAAAGTTAAGCAGACACATTGGAGTTATTCTATTGATGTCGGYTCGTATGATATAAGGGCCAAGTACTTGAACTTTAATATGTTTAAATCAGTATGAAATGAAACTAGGGCAAACTCCTTTTCTGACTTGCGATCAGCTGATTTTAGCCTCTTTTACTCCGACGAAGGACTAGAGTTTGAAACGTCAGTAAGTTTTTTCATCTTTTCACGGTGTATAATTTACCCTTTTATCATTACTGTTTTATTAGAAACACCGACATAGCTCACACTAGTTTTTTTGGCTAGTTATCTCTTCTGATTTTAGTGTACGTGATGTGTAGCT